TAGTTTTGAGTTTACTGTCATTTTACTGTTTGTGTTTTTGGTCTTTTTCTTAAATAAGTCCCTTTAACATTTCATATAATAAGGACTTGGTGATAATGAACTCCTTTAACTTGACCTTATCAGGGAAGCACTTTATCTGCCCTTCCATTCTAAATGATGGCTTTGCTGGATACAGTAATCTTGGATGTAGGTCCTTGTCTTTCATGACTTCAAATACTTCTTTCCAGCCCCTTCTTGCCTGCAAGGTTTCTTTTGAGAAACCAGCTCACAGTCTTATGGGAACTCCTTTGTAGGTAACTGTCTTCTTTTCTCTGGCTGCTTTTAAGATTCTCTCCTTATCTTTAATCTTGGGTAATGTAATTATGATGTGCCTTGGTGTGTGCTTCACTGGGTCCAACTTCTTTGGGACTCTGAGCTTCCTGGACTTCCTGGAAGTTTATTTTCTTTGCCAGACTGGCAAATTTCTCCTTCATTATTTTTTCAACTTCTTGCCCTTCCTCTTCTCTTTCTGGCACCCCTGTGATTCGGATGTTGGAATGTTTGAACTTGTCCCAGAGGTTTCTAAGCCTCTCCTTGTCTTTTTGAATTCTTGTTTCTTCATTCAGTTCTGGTTGAATGTTTTTCTACTTCCTTTTGGTCTAAACTGTTGATTTAAGTCTGGCTTCCCTCCCTTCACTGTTGGTTCCCTGTATATTTTCTTTATTATATTTTGCACATCCTTTACTTTTTCCTCCACTTTTCAACTATATTCAACCATTTCTGTAAGCATCCTGATTACCAGTGTTTTGAACTCTGCATCTGATAGGTTGGCTATCTCTTCATCACTCAGTTTTATTTTTGGAGCTTTGATTTGTTCTTTCATTTGGGCCATATTTCTTTGTCTGGGTGTACCTATTACGTTGTAAGGGGTGGGACCTTAGGTATTCGACAGGGTGGGGCAACCTATTTCACTGTGTTGTGGTGCTTTATGTGGAGGAGGGGTCAGAGAGGGAACAATGCTGCTTGCCTGGCTCTTGATAGGCTTTCAGTCACTTCCCCCCACTACCTAGAAGCAAACTGGGCCCCTCTGGTGCTGATTCCAGAGTGGGTGGGTTTGTGTACATTCTAGGACCCTTTGAGTCTCTTTAATGAATTCTCCTGTGAGGCTGGGAGTTTTTCCTGCCACTTGAACCCACACAGGTTTTTTTTCAGTCAGAGGTTTTAAGGCTTTATTTCCCTGCACTGGAGCCCCTGCACTGGGTTGCATAGTCTGTCTCGCTCCCCAGTTGTTTCTCCCTGTTGATCCACACACACAGGTGGGACTGCCTAGTCTTCCAGCCCTGCCTTTCCTTGCATCCTCTCCATTCCGGCTGCCTGTCTCCACCTCTCCTAGTATCAATGAATGTTTCTTAACTCCTTGGTTGTTGGACTTCCATACAGTTCAATTTTGTCAGTTCTGGTTGTTTTTTGTGTTTAAATTTGTTTTTGTCCTCCTTTTGGTTGTGCAAGGAGGCAAAGTGTATCTACCCATGCCTCTATCATGGCCAGAACTTGATTTCTGACAGTTCTGATTGATGGTCGTTCTATATTTTAGTTGTTATTTTGATGTGGTTGTGGAAAGAGGTGAGCCATGTTTACCTCTGCTGCCATCTTGACCAGAAGTCCTCTCACTGTGATTTTAATTTGCATTTTCTCAGTAGCTAATGAGTGAACATTTTTTGTATGCTTATTTGCCACCTGTATATCTTTTTTGGTAAATATCTATTTATATCTTTTGCCTATTTTTCCTAATTAGGTTATTTTTATTGTTGAGCTTTGAGAGTTCTTTATATAGTCTAAATGTAAGTCTTTTGTGGATATATGATTTGCAAATATTTTTCCCACTGTGTAGCTTGTCTTTTCATCATCTTTTGCAGAGCTGAAGTTTTTAATTTTGATTAAGCCCAGTTTACCTATTTTTCCTTTTATGAATTGTGCTTTTGATGTCAGGCCTACAAACTCTTTACCTAATGCTAGATCCTGAGGATTTTCTATTTTTAAAAAAGGTTTAGTTTTACAATTTGCATTTATGTCCACATGATCTATTTTTAGTTTATTTTTATATAAGATGGAGAACTTAGGTTGAGGTAATTTTTTGCTACGGATATCCAATTGGTCCAGCACCATTTGTTACAAAGACTCTCTCCCCTCCATTGAATTGCTTTTGCACCTTTGTAAAAAAAAAAAAATCAGTTGTGCATATTTGTGTGGGTCTATTTCTGGGCCTTCTGTTCTTTTTTTCCTTGTGTCTATTCCTATACAAATACCACATGGTCTTCTTGATCACTGTACCTATAACATAAGTCTTAGAATCAGGTATACTGGTTCCTCTCATATTTTTCTTTTCAAAAATTATTTATTTTACAGTATTTCCTCTTCCTCTCTCTATATATTTTAGAATAATTTTTTTCTCTATCTACAAAAAATCTTGCTATGGTTTTGATAAGCACAGTGTTAAACCTGTGTCGATCTGGGAAGAACAGACAGTTGTACTGAGTCTCCCCATCTGTGACATGGTGTGTCTCTCCAGGTGGACTTCTTTGGTTCCCTTCATCAGTGTTGTACAGTTTCCAGCAGACATGTCCTAACGTGTTTGTTAAATTTACACTAAGTCTTTTTCTTTTTTTGAATGATATTAATTGTGGTGTCAAATTTTTAATTTAGATGTAAACATAGTCATATTTGTTGCTAATATATAGAAATACAACTGATTTTTGTACGTTTATCTTGAATCCTATGACCTTGCTGGACTCACTTATAAGTTCTAGGACTTTTTAATAGATTCCTCAGGGTTTTCTACAGATCAATTTTCTATGAAGCTCCTTTCTTTCCACTATTCTTCCCTGTAAATTCTGTATCTTACAGAATTCTATATCTTACAGAATAAATTCTGTAACTTACAGAATTCTATATTCTATAATCATGGAATCTAAACATAAGGACAGTTTTATTTCTCCCTTTTTAAACTTTTCCTTCTACTTGCCTGACCGCAATGTTCAGAATGTTCAGCGCTGTGCTGAATGAGAAAAGTCACCCTTGCCTGTTCCCAGCCTTAGGGGGAAAGCATTCATCTTTCACCATTAAATGAAGTGTTAGCTGTAGGTTTTTGTAGCTGCTCTTTATCAAGTTGAGGAAATTCCCCTCTATTTCTTTTTTGAGAGTTTTTATTATGAATGCATCCTGCATTGCTTATATGCTCAAAAAGTCATCCTTTGCTACTAAAGAGCCAGCACATATTTTCAACTACTTTTCTAGTTTTTAAGGTTCCTCTCCTTATCTATAACTATTTAGAATATCTAGTACCATTTTGCTGTTCATACATAGACCCTTACTTCTGCTCTTGCAATAATGGAAGCATGGGGACTCCTCCCATTAAACAACTAGAAAACCAAAAGAAGCCTGTGAAGCACCAATTTCCAAACATTACACAGCAGGTAGTGTAGCAATGACCCCTGAGAAAAGGGAAACAGCCCAGCAGTCTCATTGATCTGGGAAGACAGATTAGAGTTCAGGGAGGCCAGAACAGCTAGAATTTACACGAAAGAATATTGAAGAGAAAGGAGCTTCATAAAGCAAGAGCTCCAGAGATTTGCAGAGGGAATTTTTCACGTTTTCAGCCGAGTTCTGACCTGTGCATATGTAGGAAAGAACTACCCAAAGCCAAGAAAAGAACTACTGGAAGCATTAGGCTCAAAAATTCCCGGACCTCACACACAGCTGGGAGTAGTTCACATTCCCACTAGCCAGAGCGGAAAGACCTTGTGGAGCGTTAATCAGGCAGAGTCCTGAGAATGGCAGGGCCTTACTAGGGACACAGCATAAAGGGAGCTCTGGACACACTCCAACAAACCTTAAAAATAAGGCTTAAAGGGAACCAACTGATTTCTGGTAATTAAACTGTGTGCCAGAAAGAAGACCAATACTATTTAAAGCACTAAAACAAAATCCAGGATCCAACAGTATAAAATCTGCAATAGCCATCATCCAATCAACTTACCAGGCATGCAAAAAGGGCAGGAAATTAGGACTCATAACAAAGGAAAAATAATTACTAAAAACACACTAAGAAATGACACAGATGATAAGATCAGCAGCCAAAACTCTTAAGAAGCTGTTATAAACATACCTCACATTTTTAAGAAGGTAGAAGACAACATATGGCAAATAAGCACGTGAAGAAATGTTCATCATCAGTTATTGGAGAAATGCAAATTAAAGTAACCACTGAGATACTATATATACACTCACTAGAAAGGCTACGGTTAGAAAGACTGACAATGCCAAGTGTTACCAGGATGCTGTAACTACGATTCTCACACATTACCGGTGGGAAGGCTAAATGGCAGACACACTCTGCAAAGCCAGGTGACTGTTTCTAATACAGTTGAATATATACTTATCATAAAACCTGGAAACCTCATTCCTGGGTATATACCCCTAAGGAATACAAACATATATCCAAAGAATTGTATGCAAAAGTTCATTGCAGCTTGATTCATAACAGCCTAAAGATGGAAACAACCCAAATGTTCCTAACTTAGCAAATAGAGAAACAAATTACGATATATTTATACAACCAAATATGACTCAGCAGTTAAAAAAAGTACTGGTATACTCACTACATGAAACTCAAAAGCACCATGCTAAATCAAGGAGGCCAGACCTGAAAGAAGGCATGTGCAGTGTGACCTATTTATATAGAAAAGGTAACACTAAGGGACAGAAAGCAGTTGCCACTGACAGGAGGGGGGAATCAGCTGCCAAAGGGGAAGGAACTTTCTGAGGTGATGGACATGTTCTGTGTCATGATTGTGGTATAATTACACAACTCTACACATCTGTCAAAAGTCATCCAACTATATACTTAAAATTGGTGAATTTCACTGTAGATACATTATACTTCAGTAATAAAGCTTATTTTTAAAAACTTATCTCTTTTCTGGGCTGGCAACTAACAAAAGAAATGAGAAGATGCTGTTTACCTTCCCAGTCCTCCATGTATGGGGCCTCCTCAGCTTCTTTCTCTGGAGTGAGCCTGTCAATGAATCTTCCCTCTTTCATGACCCTGGTTATTTCTCGGAGCTGATGCAGCAATCGTTTTTCTTGGTCAGAAGTCACGGTCTGTGCTCTGCTTAGAAATATCAGACAACCCAGCCATTTAGTGGTAAACACTCCTTGGCAATGAACATAAATTACATCGCTATGATCTGTCTGGATCTCAGAACAGGAAGTGAAACAGCAGCACATAATTAGTCTAGGACTTGATCCTAGAACAGCACAGCTGGTCATTAGACATGTTAGTTCAATGTTCTGATTTTACAACTGGAGAAAATAAGGCCCAGAATAGATCGAGTGATTGCTCAAGGTCCTACAATGAGTTAAGGTCAATGCTGGGACCAGACCTCAGATGTCTCAGCTTTCAGTTCAGTGTTCTTTCAGTCTGCCTCACTGCTCTCATTCTCTAATCTCCAAGCAAGTTCACTGTTACTTAATATGATTCCATTTACTACAAGCAACCTTTGTCTGAAGGAGGTCATCAAAAGCATCTGTGCTGAGCCATTAGCCTCAACAAGGGAAAAACATGCTACTAGGTCACCCCTGCAACCACCAGGCTGCATGTGCTTGTGCAGAAATAAACATACACCCTGAAATTCCATAGCTGGATCATTCTGACCAATCAATCAATTATCCAGGCCATAGAAACTGGGGAAACGGAGACCCTCAGAGGGAAAATTATACATTCCTATTGCTAGTTAATGTCAACACTTTAACTAAAGTCTCCTAACTTCTGACAGCATTCAGTGCAATTCTTAAAGCACAGTGCTCAAGTTCCACAGTTTGGAAGGCCTGGGTTTGAGTTCCAGCTTAGCTGGGAGGCTCTGGACAAATGTTGGCAAAAATAAGAAGAGGCTCAAGGATAATGGCCATTTTTTTTTGAGAAGGAAATATTGCATCACACATATGGGCAGACAAGGCCCTATACAGAAGACTGAGCACTGCCTTATTTGGGACCAGTTCTGTCTAGTGTCAGGATTTAACAGAGACTACTTATTCATCTCTTAAAAACCCAAAGCATTTGAAATCAATGTAACACTCATGAAGGAAACCTGAAATATTCTGGATCACAGCACCCCCTGGAGGTGCCATCTATTTTTCTTATCAGCCAGTAGTAGAAGCCTGCATTCCTTATGCTTAGCCTAACAAACTTTAGCCTTAAAGATCAATGGGGAAAAAGAAAAAAGGGTTTCTCCCTTCAATGTGAGGAAAATAAAGGTGCACCGTTTCTGCAGCTCTCAGTGGGAAGAAAACAGAAACGCCAGTTCTACTTCTTCCACACTAAACTGCCCCGGAGCCGTGACCTGGAGCAGCCTGTCGGTCTACCATCAGCTAAACTCATACATTATCGGGCCTCTCACAGCTCTGCTCTTCCCACCAGTCCAGGAGTCCGGACTCGCTGCAACTACTCATCTGCTCTATGTAACCCCCAATTCTTACAATGACCCACTTTGTGGGGTGCTTCCAGGCAGCTAGGTCCCCTACCCTAAAATACCCTATGCGCTTATCACAAAGCTCTTGCTCTCAGGCTGCACACGTTACTTCTCTGAATCATAGTCAGTGTATTCTGATTTTTACTGTATGAGAAACAGCCTGAATTCTGTGTCTCTTAATTCATGAAAAATCAGAGCCTTAATTAAAAAGGGATGGCTAACAGAAGCAGACACAGACAAGGGAAGCTTTCTCAGAGAATTCCAAACTAAAGCATCCTCTTCCATTTCTGATTAAGTGTACTTGTGTTGTCTGTACCACGCATTAGGCAATTAACCACGGCCTACCTTCTACCTTTCGAATTTATTTTCACAGATCCCTTATGGTCTCCACTTGGTTTACTCCTGGAAGATGGTGCCCACTATATGACTATATAGGTGCAGTGCCATGAACACCGTACGTGCTAATGTGTTGGACTGGTCCCCATTTCCTTACCATCCATTTTCTCCCACCTCCCTGCAACCTGGCTTTCATTCCATCATTTTGCCAAAACTTGTGAAAATCACCAACCATTTTACTCTCAAGTCCAAAAGCCTTTTTCTCACATCTCATTCTTCGTGATTTCTCTGTACTGTGAACCATCCCATCCTCAAAATGTACTGCTACCACTTCCTTAACCATTCTTATCTCTGATCATGGCTCACTTCTCCTTCCCAGTTCCTAAAACATGGTTTTCCTGAGGGTTCAGTCCTAGGACTCTCTTTCTCCACTGCCCCATCACACCCTCAGGAAGCTGGCCCAGGGTCACAGATCAAACCATCACATCCACACTGACAATGCCCAAACTCTGCCTTCACTCTTGACTTCTCACACAGTCAGGCTCATGATCCCCGTTATCTCCTGCGCACTTCCACTTGGAGGCCTTGCCACTACACTGAGGTTCCTTCAGTTCATTCTTCAAAACCGGGTCCTAGTTGGGCCTCAGATCATGAGCAGCTGCACAGACAGGAAGGCGAGGGGAGGTTGGGTATGGCAGATTCCAAGATGCCAGAAAAATAAAAGGTCAAGTTGGGAGACATCCTCCACAAGGGACTGAATGCTATTCACCCAGGGAAATCACCAAGCTCTGAATCTAAGAGTTAAGCACAGAGGGAATCAAACAGTTTCTGACACAACCACTCATGGCTAGAATGGAATTCAGACTAGCAGAAGACTGACTACAGGCTCCTGTCCCACAGGACGAGATGCTTCAGGACTGGGTGATGTTGTCTCTCCCCACGGCCCTTCCTCTTGCCAAACATGAGCCTTTTGTTCTGACCTCAATACCCAAATTTCCTATTGTTCTTGTATATTTTATTGTACACGGATGTTGGGAAGGCCCCTAATCATATTCAAAGCTGAACTCAGGATGCCTATCCCAAGCCTTATCTTCTCCCTCTTTTGTGCTTGTCTTAACAGTCCTTACAGTTTTGGGCTATAAATCTCCAACTTATCTTTATCTCCTTTTTGCTCTTCATTAATTACTCTTATCTAGTTAGTCATTTTCTCCTTTAGGGAGCCAACCCCTCTTCCGCTCACAGTGCAAAGGTTAGACTGAAGCCAACCACCCCTCATCCCCCCCCCTTCAAGGATGGCCAGGTGGTCCATGGCCAACCAGCACACTTCATTTCCTTGGCTGCAGTGATCGAATCAGTGATATACACAGGAGCCAAGTTGTGGCAAGTGTACTTTCTCCTAAAACTAGATCTTGAACCCAATGACACTTCATCTGAAAACTTTTCATATTAACTCCTCCTGGCAACGGTTCCTGCAGGACTGCCCATTTGTTCCTGCTCCCAAAATCCCCAGAGCTGCTCTGCTTCCTACTCCTCCTGAAACCTGGTCATTAGCTATTCCTCCCATATTGTGAGCCATCGATATTCTTCCAATAACCTCTGCTGCCTCCTCCAAATACTTAATACCCAGATTGGCTGCTTGCAACCAAGGAATCTTCACGCAGCCTGTGATTTTGTTCCTCCATGCAGTCCCCTGAATTTGGCCCCTCTTTCCCACTTCCACTGGCTTATTTATTACCTTTCACTAAGACTTTTTCAATCACCTTTTGGCATACAAGCCACTCTACACATCACTGTAAGAGTCATTTTTCCAAAGCACGGAAGATAATGGCATTACTCCCTGAAAGCACACAGAGGCCCCCGCTGTAAAGACAATGCACTTCCACCTCAGCCTACCACTCGGGCCTTCCAGCCTGGTCCTAGTTTACCTTTCCGTTTTTCCCCATTACTTACCTCTAGTCATTTACCCCCTCCCTGGTCTACCCCACTCCAGTTACTCAGGACTACTTGCTGCTCTGAAAATATGCCTTGACTCTCTCATCTTGTTCGTTGCTTGTGCTGCCCTCTCTGAAATTCTTTCCCCAAACTCTGCCTTTTACCCTCAAGGTTTGTTCAAATTCCCCCTATTCCACAGACCTTCTGTGGTTGACAGAATATTCCCCCTTGCCCCCCAAAAGTGTCCACATCTTAATCCCTGGATCCTGTAATATGTTGCCACATATGTAAGGACACTCAGGGTTGCAAATGGAATTCAGGTTGTTATTCAGATGGACTTGAACTAGAGGGATTATCCTGGATTATGAGGGAGGGCACAATGTGATTATAAGAGTCCTTACAAATGGAAAAGGGAAACAAAAGAGGTCAATGATGTGAGAAAGTCTCAACCCACTATTGCTGCATTTGAACATGGAGGAAAGGGTCCATGAGACAAGAAATGTGGGCAGCTTCTAAAGTCTAAAAAAAGGCAAGGAAACGTTCTCCCCAGAGCCTTCGAAAGAGCAGACAATCCTGCCAACACCTTGATTTTAGCCCAGTGTAGGACTTTTAACATACAGAACTGTAAGATAATAAATGTGCGTTGTTTTAAGCCATTAACTTTGCAGTAAACTGTTACAGCTGCCATTGAGAACTAGTAACACGTTCTTAGAGCACACTCTACCTCCGAGATGCATGCAGTTCCTTATAGAGAAACACTGCTTCCATGACAACTACATAGGGTTGCACAGAACAAATCAAAACAGGTACCAAGACTTGGCTGGTGTGGCTCAGTGGATTGAGTACTGGCCTGCGAATAAAAATAGGTACCATAGAAGATGTTGTTATTATTGCTGAAAATGCCAACTTTGAAGTGCTTTCTCTAGATCTGCCTCAATCACTCTTTCGACATGTACCAACACTGTCAATGTGCCAGCAAGGAACGCAAATCTGAACAATGAAGAATCCATGTCCTCAAGAAGGTCAGAGGGCATCAGGGAAAACAAAAGTTAACAGAAAATCAGAAAGTAACATGATACATACAGTACCAAACCTAGGTGGCATGGGAGTGCATAGTAGGAATACATAACCAAGTTTTGAGTCCAGGAAAGGACTCTCAGAGAAAATGATGTCTAACTTGAGACCTATGAGACAAGCAAGTTAAAATAAGTATGTGTAAGGTAGGGTGGGCGTTACACCCAAGCAAATGAAAAAAGTATATGCAAAGTTCTAGAACAAGTGGTTAGTGCAGCTGGACCACAGAGAGCATGATGGGAAAGAGGTGTGCAGGGCCACATCACCCAGGACCAAGTACAACAGAAGACACAGTCCATCTGTCCAAAAAGCAGAAAGTGAACTGAAGGGAGGCAAAATTAGAGAAAAAGGAAGCACATGAGAGAGTTCTGAACTATGTCAAAAATAACGGTATTCATTCATTCACTCACTCATTCTTTCTTCCATTTCAATGAATACTTATTTCAGAGCCTACTATGGGCCTGTGCCAGGCTCTGGGAATAAGAAGGATAATTAATCCCTGCCCTAATGGAGCTTAGTGTCTTTTGCAGGGAGACAGACTTATTAATTAGGAAGAAATGACAAGACACAATAATCAAAGAGATATGGGAAGTGAAGGAAACGGTGAATCAAGGATGACGTCTCATTTCTGCTAAGCAAATGGTGGGGCCACCTGCGGAGACGGGGAATAGTAAAGGTAAACTGAGCTCAGCGAGGGGCAGCCGATGAGTTCCCTCTCAGACACTCATTCATTGAAGAGGCACTCAACATCTGATGGGGATAAGGGCAGGTGTCAGCCATGATTTATATCATAGACTTTGAATCAGGAAATGAAGAATCTCAATAGGGAATGGCCACGATTTACTCTTTGACCATAATACATGTGCAAATGCTTGTATCAAAAGTGAATTACCTGTTCTTTTCCAACGGCATTTACTTAATACCTACCATGTGAACACAGTGAACAAAACTGACTAATCCCGTTCTCAGAGAGCTTATATTCCAGCACTGGAATATTGCAGAATCTACAGTCCCACACATACTCACCACGCCTGCCAGGGCCGCCTGCTGCCAGAGGCTGCCCTCAGGCCACACCGTGCTTCTAGGGGGTGAATAGTTACACTAGACATGCTGCTCTGGAAAGGACACTTAGCTGATCATAAGGATCTAAATGAGGGCACCTTGACTCTGATTCCTAGATCTTCTCCTTGGTCTCTGTGTCCTTGGGTTGGATACTGGGCCTAGCATCTGAGGGAACGTGGCATGATCCACGCCTTCAGGAGGCTACATTATTTAAACATGTACACAGACATACACTATTTAGAGAAAGCTGTCCAAAAGTTTTATTAGATAGTATTAAAAACCTTTCCTGTATTTTGATCCTCACACAAGCATTAAGATGGAAGTTCAGAAACTGCGTATTTCTGAAATTTTAAACAAAAGTTTGCTGATATAGAGTGAATATTATATACATAAAAGTACTTAGAAGGCTGTAAATGAACACATTGTCTTTGTCTTACACCCTCTCCTTGCCCCCCGAAAGCCAAGAGATGTGATAAAAATCTTGACAGAAAAAAATACTGGGGTGTTTTGGACTAATAATCTTAGAGGCACAGACTTGTGGAGGAACAGCTGCATCAGAATCTGGGATTTGAGGATGTAAGTATTAAAAGGAAACAACGTCAAGCATGGGGCCACCTGGCCCTTGCAGTTTTCAGGGTTGAATTCCCTGAAACGTTTTCAGCTAGGGCCTAATTGTAAGGATAAAAGGTGTCGGATAAAAGGTGTCAAAGAGAAAGTCACATCTTCATGGACTGGAAAATAAGAGATGTGGGAAAGACAGCCACAAGCTATGCTCTCTTCGGGAGAAAGGGAACCATTCTCCAGTTCCTGAGCCATACTGTGGAAAACATTTTATATAACTATCACCTCAAGGCTGGCTGGAAGGAGCCCACCCGCCAGCGTCTGATGAGTAAAGGTTTTTAGCCAGGACCTGTGGCCCCACAAACAACCAAGTGACACAATTCCAGCTGCAGGTGGGGACAAGTGCTGTGCCTTTGCACACAGAACACGTAGCAACAATCTTAGTGCAAAGAGGACAGACAATACTTAGGGTTTACAGTATTGTGTGCCTGGCCTTGGCAATGGGCAGATGGTGTACACCGGTGGGATGGTGGGGTTCTTTGATTTGAGCTAAGGGAGTATGAATGGGAATAACAGTGAGAAAGTATGTTCATGTGGTTTCCATGCCAAAACCTAGGGGTTGGGTCTCCCAGGAGGGAGGCCAGGCCCGCAGGTATTCTTCTGGGGCTTTCATGACCCATAAGTGTGGTGGGAGACTTCAGAGGGACAAGGGCCAAGTACAGATATTTTTAAAGTATCTGTACTTAAATGAGGGTCATGAGGGTCAATAAAAGCCTGGCAGTTCTCTGCCCAGGCTGTGAGTGGCATAAGAACAGAAAACATCAGAAAAGTATAGTTGCACAAACTGGCAGTCACAGTTGTACAAATTCTCATACATTAGATGATATATAAAAAGCATTTAGCCCAGATATTGGTCCTTGTTAAGTGCTCAATAAATATTAAAATTTTCCTTTTTTTTCGTACTTACTGACTACTTACTAAGGACCAAGCTCTGGGCTGAATGCTTTTTATATATTGCCTAATGTACGAGAATTTGTATGAATGTGACTGCCAGTTTGAGCAACTACACTTTTCTGATCTTTTCTGTTCTTACCCTGTGCCACTCACAGTCTGGGCAGAGAAGGAGGGAAGCATTTTCAAGAACAACTATAAAGGACACAGGACAAAACCAAGAGGGGTGGAAGCAGGGGAGGGAGGTGGGGATGGCTGGGGTTGGGGGGGAGCGGTGGGGGGTACACGCAGATCACTGTATTTGAATAAAATAATTTATACAACCACACAGTATACTCATGTATAGATATGTGCACATATCTATACCACTTTGGGGAACATTCCAGATAGTCACTCTGCTCTCTAGACTAAAAGAAGGTCAAGGCTGCTGGGCCCATACAGGCAAGGTCCATCCTCATAAATGTCTTTTCAGCAGCACTGCAGACACTGCAGGGAAAAGCCAAGACAAAAGTGTGCAATCTGAGGATGTTCACTCTTCTCTCTCACCAAAGATGGGCAAGGCTGGGGCCAGGGAGCAGAGTGAGGGCCACGGGGCTCTAGCACCTCTGAGGATGGCAGGCAAAAGAGGCCTAGGTGAGGTGGACATTTTCTGGAGCAATAAAGATGTCACAGTGAGTCCATAGGGCTATAGGGAGAGACCTTTCACAACACATTCTCTTGCTTGGGATTTGGCCCCTCATCCCTGCTCTTCCTCAGTTCTTGTTAGAAGGGCTCACTCAGACAGAATCTCTCGTTATTCTCAATCCCACATGGTGGTGTCTCCTTCCTGGCCTTCCCACACTCATGTGTTCTCAGCTGTGCCCACCTCCATCAACCTCCGAAAACTGCCTTTGCAGATGCACAGCCGGCCCTGTAGTAACAGCAGTGAGTCTTCCCTGTGGGGCGTCCTAAGGCGCTGGGTTGGTTCCTGACACCTACTTTCCGTGTCTAACTCTGTTCTGGCAGGAGCAACATAAACCAAATGCATAATCTGATCACAGTTGCTCTGTTTTCTCATTTGGTCTCAAATAGCACAATATTTAATAATCTGGTTTTACTTAAAATTATGCCTTTTTTTAGACAAGCTAGGAAACTGTCTTCCTTAAAACCTAGTTATTTAACCCATCAGGATTTGCTCACAAATTTACTCGCAATAATGTGCATAGAGCTGAACATATGCTCAAGAAACCTGAGATTGCTTATAGCATGAAAATGGACACGATACGTGAGAAGTAATATGCAAATGACAACTAAGTTGACAACTATGTAAAATGCAAAGAAGTGCCCCCAAAACTAAAGAAAAACAAAATTTTGAATTGACTCTCTATATCGGAAACAGTCTGAGTCCTGAAAACCTACCTTCCGCCATTGGGCCCCACTCGGTTGATCAATTTTTCCATGGCTTCCTCTGTCTCCTTCAGTTTTTCTTGCAGTTGAACAAGCTCAAAATTGGCTGAAAAACAAGCACCAGTCTGAGGACCATCATATATGACTCACTACACTCTTTTCAAAACATGCTGGGTGTGACACTGTAGCAATTCAGGCTGGTCCTGCGACTCAGAGCAGAGACGAGGAGTTTCTCCAGCTAATCCCATCAGGAATCAAAGGGTGCCTCGGTCTGGGCACCGCTATCTAGAGGACACGTGCATAGTGAGTGGTGAGCAAATCACTCCCTAACACACAGAAATACAGTGGGACCAGCTAAGAAAACACCTAGGAATGAAAACCTATTCCTATAGTAGCCCAAGAAGAATGAGGAAGATAAACACCCTCCTTTTCCCATTTTCTTTTTTAACTAAAATATACAGTATTAGTATATTAGTAATATTAGTTCCAAGTGTACAACATAGTTATTCAACATTAATATACCTAACAAAGTTATCGCACTAAATTCAGTAACATTCTGTCACACAAGGTCATTATATTATTGACTATATTCTTTATGCCATATGTTACACCCCCATGACTTTTTAATTTTATGACAAGAATTTTGCATCTCTTCTTCACCTTCACTTTTGTCCTTTCTCCAACCCCTTCCCCTCTGGAAATCACCCGTTTGTTCTCCACGTCTATGAAACTGTTACTGTTTTGTACTGTTTGTTCATTTGTTTTGTTTTTTAGATTCCACATATAAGTGAAATCATACCATATTTGTCTTGCTCTGCTGGACTTATTTCACTCAGCAGGATACCCTCTAGGTCCACCCATGTTGTCTCAATGGCAAGATCTCATTCTTTTTCAGGGCTGAGTAACATTCCACCCTGTACATGCACCACGTCCTCTTCACCCACTCATCTGTCCATGGACACTGAAGTTGCATCCATACTTGGCTATTGTTATGCAAATGCAAATGATGCTCAAGGGTGACACACCAAATCTGTGAAATACTTTAGAGAGCTAAATGAAATGAACAGAATTTCACCTGCACCTCGGGATGAAAACACATCTGGAAGGTAAGAGTTCCGATGTTATGCTTCCTCAGTAGAGGAAGTCTTGACCTGGGGTGAGACTGCCCGCCCAGGGCTCTCTGCCCCGGCCATGCGCAGTGAAGTGGTGTGACCCTGCCTCCCAAAAGTACTGACAATTTTCTCAACGAGGGTCAGTAGAGAGCACAGCTATGCACTGAAACTAACTTTAAGACCCTAAAAGTAGAACAGAAAAATAATCAGTACATGAAATGAACTTTAAGGCAGAAGGAAAATAAAATGTTCATTATGCAGATAATCTAGTTTTTCTGTTTCATGCCCAGATGTAGTTAAAGGTCATTACAAATGTGGTATTTCAAAGGCTTTTTAACACTCTGGAACAAACTCTTATTCACACAGGTAACATCAATAAAGTGTCTGGGGGACTGTGCCGCACAAGCGCTCCAGTTATTTTTATTTGCTGCATGATTCAAAACTGAAGGATAAGAAGCTGACAGAGCTGCCGCTACATTAGAGAACACATGCTCTCAGGAATTCATTTTATTTACTTTTCTGTTTTAAATGCATTATGTGGCAGGATACTGAATTTGCTACTCTTTAAAGAGTCCTTTAAAAATTTTTTACTGATACATTTACCATCACTGTTTGACATTATCTCAGTTAAGAACACAGAAGCTTTCTTACAGAATTCCCTGAATATTTGAGATTTCCAAAAAGGATGCAGAGTGTGACTGAAATGTCTATTTCCACAGAGAATCTGAGGAAGTACAAAAAGCAGTTGTGGCCAGAGGCAGATGCTTTGGTCCAGCCTCACATCGTTTGGCCGATGTCTGCTTTAAAAACCTCTGAGGAGGCTTCATTATCCACAGGATAAAGCCACTTGGCCTCTAAGGCCCTCGACAGTACGGCTTCACCTGTCTCCTCTCCGGGCCTTCTTCCCCATCTGCCCTGCATCAGGCCGAGTCTCGCTCGAGCTGTCCCATCTATCTGACGCCCAGACAGACAGGATTTCCCGGAAGGCTTTTCTTTCCAGGCGGTAAACTTTTCACAATTCATTTTTCCTGACATGCATCCCCAACTATAAATTCTGAGAGGGAAGAGCTATGGCACATACATTTCATCTCCACAGAAAGCACAGAACATTCTAGGTGGTCAGTAAATATCTGATGATCATGTTTCAAGAGCGAGAAGTGTTATCCTCTGTCCCTAGGGCTCCTGACTTGATCTCTCTGCCTGTGAAATCAAGATATTTGCTCCCAATATTCTGAAATCTGAGAATGAGAAGTAACCCATTCCAAATGTGAAATATTAATTTGCTAACAAATAAAAAAGTGAACTGGTGGTTTTATACTTCTTGTAACTATCTTTCCCTTGAAAGCCAACATCACTATAGAAACTTTGGAGAATTCTCAGAGCTGAGGTAAAAATGGCATCAGGTTAATTTGGCACAACTTTTGAGAACTGCTTTTACGATGTACCCAGACCGTCCCTCTGGCTGTATCACAGCTGTTTGATGCGGTAAAACCTGTGACTATGCTGACAAGGGCACTCACTTATTTTCCTGTAGGCGTTCCCGGGTGTGGCCGTAGGGCATTTCCGGTCCTCTGCAGTGCTTTTCCCCCTGGAAAGCTGAGGATTGAAGGAGGTACAGCACATCAACAGCAGCTCAGAATCTCAAAGTCATGGAACCCCTCATATTAAGTGGGGAAAAAAAGGTTGGGAGACAAAAATTAAGCCAGAAATCCAACTAAATAGAAAGAACTCAAAACAACAATTTTTTAAAAAGCCTATAGAAGGTTTTCAAGTCAAACTTATCAAGGCACGAGGAAAAAAATCCCTCTACAGACCTCCTGCCTTGCCCATGCTCATCTAAGACTCGGCTCAGGCTGCCCGCAGAATTTCTGGGCGAGGAGGGGCTCGCCTCTTACTCTAGTTGGGAGGGCAAAGAGGAACTCCTGCCCCCACTTCACAGTGCCTAGCCAGGCCCACGGCCTGCCAAAGTCCGCCTGGAGGTGGGACTCCATTAGCACAGTCTACTTGTAAAGGACCCAAACCATGACTCCCCAGAGCTAGGAAACAGCAGGCTTACTTTCAGGATGTGGCACTTCCATTTACAAGAATTACTGGAGATGATGTTAAAAAAACAGCACCTCACACTCCTCGGGGAAAAGAAGGACAAAGTGATGCTGGTGGAGTCATCTGGCCTCCCAGTGGCCACCTGAAAATCACTGAGCCAATCCTTCAATTAAGCTCTTCTTAGAGCAGCTTTATCCCATTTCAACTTGTAACAATGCCCAGTAAAAAAAAACTGGAGGTCTTTGAACTTTATTGCTAACTGGATTAGAAAACTAGAAAATCCAGGTTCAAGTCCTGGCTCTGCAGTTTCAGTTGTGCACTCTGGGGCGAATCATTTAAGCCGAGTGAAGATCTTCCCGTTGGTAAAATTGAGATAACAGCCATCCTAAGTACCTTATGAAGAGTCCAGGTTTAGGGAGATGATAGATTTGTAAAGGATTATGAACTGTAAAGGGTTTTAATGCCAACAACGATTTTTTATTACAATAATAGACTGTCACTGATGTAATATGATCAAGATGATTCCACTTACCTTAAATAGAATGTACAGTATGTATAAGAAAATCCCAAATCCATAGATTGGAATAATCTGCCCCATCAGGCCTCGTCCACCACCTCCTCCTCCTCCAGTGCCTCCACCTGATCCTTTGGCCTTTGCAAAGGCCTCTGCAAGGTGAGACCGCTGGACACGAGCCTCGGGGCTCTGGCCATCTGAGGGTGCTTGGTGACGATGCATCATGGGTGGAAAACGACCCAACTTCCCTGAAAAAATTAATTAATGGGTCTTTAGTTCTCTACTATTTTAAATATGGCTATTATGAAAACACCTAATGCACTGAGGTACCAATAGCAGAAGCCAACTCAAATAAGTTCAAGAAAAAAAGAGGAACTTGATCATAAGGACACAGAGGTATCATACAAATAATACGATGTGCCTATCTCGCTCAAGCTGCTCACTAAACCCATTTTTTCTCTTCCTTTTGGGTCCATAGCTAGACCATTTAACTTCCCACACAGTTAAATGTGGTCACGTGACTGAGTTACAGCCGTACAAATGGGAAGGACATATGCTCAAGTTCAAGGCCTGGCCTATAAAACTTACCGTGTATTAAACACCATGTTCATTTCCCTTCTGCAAGCTGGATGCTGCACCTAAGGAGACCTTGGACGTCATGTGATAATAAAAATGGCAGAGCTTCCAACAACCTGGGCTCCTGATAACTGTGTGGCACAGAGCCTTCTACTACTGCAACCCCCAACAACTTAGAAACCATCTGGATCTGCCATGGGAGGAGAACTAGATTTCCACTGTGTTAGGGCCAGTGTACACTGTGGAGTCTGTTACGGCAGGAGCCACCCCTCCCTAAAACAGACAAGGAAATGCAATCTGGTCTCAGAAGAGAACAGAACTAGACACTGGAAAGCCATCAGGCTCCAGGACAGCCACTCTCTCGTTCCCTCTCATCGTTCTCCCTCTCTGGGGGGTCACGAGCCTTTTTGTCTGTTTCTCTGTGTGTATCTTCTCCTTTCTCTCAGGACCATTTCTTTAGCTTCTTTGGGAACATGGAAACAGATGGTCACCCCAGACCCCTCGTTTGCATGTCCTTCAAGAAGCCAGCAGAGACTGGTCATAATGTCAAATTCCGGAAGGGAGATTTCTGAATGCTCAGCCTGGGTAGGTATGAATCCCTTCCCAACCTGCTGTAGCTGAGCAGACAGGACTCATATAGCACAAACAGGGTCACGAGAGTCCATCCCTGTGAGTAGAAGCAGGGCTTACAGAAAGGAGGGGATATCAGTTTTCTTGCATTTCTTTTCCTCTATCAGAAGCAGCCAAACATTAACACCAACTGCCAAACCTACTGAGAACCAGAGGTGAGGAAGAAAAGGAAGACATCTCTTCAAAAGGGCATGTAAACAGGCTTGTGTGGAAAACCCATAGAGAGACAAAATTATAAAGCAGAGAACACAAGACGGCAGAAAGACTTCATGAATCAAACTCTAAAAACACAAACTACAGAGTGAAAAACTATTGAATTTGACTTCAACAAAAGTATAGATTTCTGTTTAATAACGAATGCCATAAGCAGAGTTAAGACTGATGACAAGGAAAAGCTTCTGCAACATCTAAAATGGACAAGGGATTACGGTATCTAGAATGGACAAGAAATTCCTACAAGTAAATATGAACATCAGAGGAAACCCAATAGAAAAATGGTTACAAGATATGAGTAGGAAATTCGTATCTCAAAGCTTAAATGATTGAAAAATAGTAGAAAAATTACATAAAGGCCCTGGCAGGGTGGCTCAGTTGGTTGTAGCACTGTCCCCGTACATCAAAAGGTTGCGGATTTGATCCCTGGTCAGGGCACATAGGAGAGGCAACTGATTGATGTTTCTCACATCCATGTTTCTCTCTCTCTCTCTCTCTAAAAAAACAATAAATATATCTTCAGATGAGGATTAAATTATACAAAGATATGATCAAACTTAAAGTAAAACCAATGAGTAAAACGTAAAATACAATATAAACATATTATAGTAAAATACATATGAGACCTACAAGAAGGGAAACACTTGAAAGGACTGGCACCAATGCAGGTGCCAAGGACCGCCATTTCCCCACTCTGACCCCACCTCCACATACAGCGTCATAACCCAGCAACTCTGAGTGGCCCGGCCCAGGTGAACCACCTAAGGCACTGCTCCTCACCCGGCTGTGAGAAGCGGCAGAGGGGGTCGCCATTTCCCTGCTCTGACCACGCCCCCACATACAGCGTCACAACCCAGCGACCTGGGAGTCCAAGGCACCGCTTATCACACTTAAAGGGCCAGAACAGACCAAAAATGTCGCAAGATCTCAAAGCCCCAGAGCCCATAGATCTAAGCGATGAAGAAATAGCAAAACTCTCAGACGCACAGTTTAAAACACTGGTCATCAGGATCCTCACAGAACTGGTTGATTATACCGACAAATTAGACAAATATATGAAGGCGAAACTAATTGAAATGAATGGAATTGCACAGGACACCAATAGCAATGAAAAGGAAACTGGGACTCAAATCAATGGAGTGGACCAGAAGAAAGCAAATAATGGCCAAACAGAAAAGAGTCAAGAAGCAAGAATTCAAAGAAATGAGGAGAGTCTTAGGAACCTCCAGGACATCTTTAAACGCTCCAACATCCGAATTATAGGGGTATCAGAAGGGGGAAAGGCACAGCCACCAGTGGAAAACTTATTTGAACAAATAATAAAGGAGAACTTCCCCAATCTGGCAAAGGAAATAGACTTCCAAGAAATCCAGGAAGCTCAGAGAGTACCAAAGAAGTTGGACCCAAGAAGGAACACACCAAGGCACATCATCATTACATTAGCCAAAATTAAAATGAAGGAGAGAATCCTAGAAGCAGCAAGAGCTAAGGGGACAGTCACCTACAAAGGAGTCCCCATCAGACTGTCAGCAGATTTCTCAAAAGAGACCTTACAGGCAAGAAGGGGCTGGAAAGAGGTATTCCAAGTCATGAAATCCAAAGACCTACAACCAAGATTGCTCTATCCAGCAAAACTTTCATTTAGAATGGAAGCACAGATAAGGTGCTTCTCAGATAAGATCAAATTCAAAGAGTTCATCATCACCAAGCCCTTATTATATGAAATGTTAAAGGGACTTATCTAAGAAAAAGAAGTTAAAGAAACATGAACAGTGAAAGGACAACCAACTCACAGTTATTCACAACCACACCTAAAACGAAAGCAAACTAAAAGGACAGCTAGATCAGGAGTGGAAACATCGAAATGAAGATCTCAAGGAGGGTTAGCAACAGGGAAGTGGGAGGAGGAGAAGGGGGGAGAAGGTACAGAAAATAAGTAGCACAGACAGTAGACAGAAAATAGATGGGGGGGCAAGAATAGTATGGGAAATATAGAATCTAAAGGACTTGAGACACATGGTCATAAACTAAAGGGGGGGTAATGGTGGGGATGGGGGGTAGGGTGGAGGGGAATGAAGGGGGGAACAGAACAACTGTAACAGCATAATCAATAAAAAAATTAAAACAAAAAAATAAATAAATAAATAAATAAATAAAAAGGAGCTTATCTGAAACAGACAACAAAGAGGGGCAGAGTGTCATGGACTTTATTACTAGACAAACTAAATGTCTATTGAAAGAATGCAAAATCAAAAAAAAAAAGAGGAGAGGAGTCAAATGGGGTGAACCATGGAAGGGAACGAGACTCAGAAAAGCAGAGAAGCAAAGGCACACCAAGAAGAAAGAAGAATGTGTGCAACGAGGAAGAGATGAGAACCATGAAACGAGAACAAGAATAAATAAGGCTAACTACCAAATTATCGGGTTGGCAAAAGGTCCATTACGTTCTTTCCATAAAATAACAGGCACATTTTTCATTTCTACCAATAACTGCACTGATTTGGATATTGTGAGTATGCCAGCTCTCTCCCGCTATTGTCTTCTAGAGCACAGAGGCCAGGGATGCTGCTAAACATCTTCCGATGCATAAGACAGCCCCACAGCAAAGAATTATTTGGCCAAAATGTCAATAGTACAGAGAAACTTCATAAACCACTTTTGACACATTCGATCGATCAGTCACAGCACCTTCTCCACACATGGCACAGATCTTGTGCATTTCAGTTGTGTCTTTACCTCTCTTGAAATAATAAAGCATAAATGCCAAAAATGGTGCATATTCTCTTACATCTTCCATATTAAAATGGCTGCAGAAAAATTCACCAATTGGTAAGTTTTTTTTTTAAATGGATACTGATATGACAGCTGCCACCATATAATGTAACAAAGTTGTTTCCACTGAAGTTAAAGACAAACTAAGCACTGCTGGAGCCATTGTGTGGAAAAAACAAACAGGACTTTTTGTCCAACAGTTTGGCTCCATTTAGAGAAGTAACAGTAAGGAGAGGGAAGTGGAGAGGTAGTGTTTAAATGCTGATTTGTGGTGTGTAAATCTGATACTGTGGGTCCAGGATCCAGGAAGTGACTTAATAAGAAAGGTGTTTGAGGGGGATTAATCTAGCAGTTGAGTTGGGTCTGGGAAACCAGCAAGAGGGCAGTAACTCAGCTCTGAGATGCAAGGGCTTGAGGTGCTGGCTGTAGCTATAACGAGGAGAGGAGAGGCCAAAGGGCTCCTACCACGCACGCGATGATCGGCAGCATGTACTACTGAACAGAGTACAGAGCTGACTGGGGAGGAGGTAAGACTACCCCAAAGGCAGGAGTTTTAAGGTACTCAGAGCAGACAATGAAGAGCCTGGGAGGGTGTAAGATGACGGGAAGACTGAACACACATGTTTCACATGTTCAACTCCAGGGCTGGTGGCACATTCAGAAGGAATTGTTATTAGACTACAGTTGGGCTTGACAAGAAGCTCTGAGCTACCTAAAGTGACAAAGCTAATCAAAATTAGGTAAGTGGATCACTCCCATAACAAAAAGGTTGGAGGGATATGTGCACATTTAGGCAAAAAGCAGAAGAAAAGAAAACTGAGTTGGTCCAGAGAGGACCAGAAACAAACCAGTATCGTAAAAGAGGAGGACAGAGTTGAAAGCGACCGGGAAGTCTGGAAGAAACTGATAAAAGACTAACAGCAATCCCCGTTTTGGACACAACGCAGTCTTGAGAAAAGGTGGCTGTCGCGTGAAACCCAGACTGTCTCCCGCGTTAAACGGTAAGAGGAACCAATGTACCACAAAGTACCAGCGTCTTTAGAGTCAGAAGGAGCCT